TCGAATTCTTTAATCTAAAGGATGACTGCTACCTGCAACATATACACATAACATAATGACGTCTGCCCCGGAATCTGACCTGTGCACCATAGGCCAGTTGGATTATCTATCCACGATCACCACATAGTCCTTGCCATTGTAAGTGAAGTAGTCACTGCAGATCATCTGAAATGGGTAATCTGGTGGTGTTATGTCTGATGGGGGCTGCATCGGGTTTGACCTAGCCATTTGGTGGCAATGAGAACATTGGTCCCTTATTCTGGCAATGTCAGCTGTGATGTCGGGCCAATACACTGAGTCTATGACACTTGCACGCATATCACTGACACCTTGGTGGGTAACATGTAGTGCATTAAGTGCATGCTTTCGGAGTGCAGGTGGGATAACCACGCGTTGACCCATAAGTAACACACCATCCACCACACACAGACTGGCTGCAAAGCGATGATAGGGACGTAAATCAGTAGATAGCTCTCTGCAATCTTCAGTAAATCCAGCCTCTATGTGGTGAATGAGGTTGACGAATTTGCTGTCTGATGCAGTAGCTTCTCGAACCATGTCCCATGTAACGGTAACAACAGCAGTAGTCGCTGCTGCAACAGTGAATGTGTCATCAGTCATGTCCTATGCTGGAAAAGGCTATTTAGAGTGTCATGCAATGGGATAGATTTGTTGTCATCCATATCAAGGTCCAAAGTTTCGCCAGGAAATTGTAGGTGCTCGGGCGCGGAGGCAGGGTGTCTAGAAGTAGCATCCGGACCTTAGTTCTTCTTTCAAGGAACATGTACAACTATGAACCTGTACCAAGAGGTTTTTCCTTGAGGTTAAGAAGTCGTCTGTTACTAATTATGTAAGTGACCTATCATTCAGGATCTGAAGAAGTGGCTTATGATCCGTGCCTATGAGTAGATCTTTGCATCCTAGCACGTTATAGCGAGTCTGGTGGAGTGAATAGACAATAGCCAAGGACTCGCCTTCAATGGGAGCATAGCGGCTTTCAGCAGGATATGTAAACCTGATGCCAACTAAACACAGCTTCCAACCATCAGGGCAGCAGGCAGGAGTCTTAGCAGTACACTGGCAGTACTTCTGCATCAAGAAGGACCCTATTCCATCAACGGACCAGTCAGTAGCCAAGCAAGTCGGTCGGTCAGGGTCAAACAGACCCACCCCTTCCAGCATCTCCTGTATGATGACTTCCTTGGACTGATTGAATAGCTGGTCCAACTCATCTGTCCAGACAAACTTTGTAGACGGTTTTAGCAGAGTCCGAAAAGGTTTCTTCTGTCCTGTCCTGGCAAAGGCGTACGCACCCTGGTTAATAAGCCCGAAACATGCCCTGGCACCAGTGATATCATTTGGTGTGGGGAATTTTCTGATAGAATCTAGGAATTTAGCACTAGGTCGAATGTTTGTTTGAGTGATTGTTAGTCCTGCAAAGTCAACGGTGTCCTGGGCAAACTGAAACTTCTTTGGGTTAAGTTTGATGCCATTACGAGCACACAGGTCAAACCATTCACATGCTTAAAAGATTGCCGCTTCAATAACGCTGCCCACATGCAGGTATCATTCACGCACTAGACCTTGAAAATTGGAAGGTATGACATCAAAGCGCTGGTTGTAAGCATCACCGCTAGCGATTAGTCATTGTGGGCCACTTTGTACCTATATCGCCCCCATGGCGTGATGAAGGTCGTGATATGTCGATCGTCTTCTTAGATGGACACAGAGTGGTATCCATTCCAGGCGTCTGTCACCGTTGTTCTCGTACCTTGAGGAACACGGTCTGCCAGATGGAAGGGGCTAGGCACATTATGGGTCTGGCGGACAGAATGACGATTTTGTGGTTGTAGATCTACAGTACGACGTGGAGTGTCGTCAGCTTTCCCAGTCACAACCATCCTCGAGCACCATGTTGTAGGAGTATCTGTACTGACGCGCTCAAGTACACCGATGCAAACATCCCTCTCATTATCAGCATATACCTTATCCTGCCAGTTAATTGGGACACGTACTGGCTTGTGAATTGCCACCGGCGTCACTTTCGGATCAACATCGAGTTGTAAGAGTCAATGGTTGATGCTCACAGATATTGAAGGTTGTGTAACCATAATAGTCAAGAAGTCAATCTCTGAGAGCTCCTATGTTCTATTCTGTGGCCCGTAGTCCTCTGGGTAGCGTATTTAGCAGTGATGGGGGGTTCCGTTTGACGCCTGGGTCAAGAACAAATTATCTCGTCAGAGTCCTCAACTGAGGCGTTGACATCCGTAGGCACATTGGGGAAGTTTGTGGGAATGACCCCGAGATATATAAGCGCTTCCCTGCATGGGAAGGTCTTTTTCATAGTGTCAGATACATAGCAAAGTAAGCGTGTTGACCGTGTAGAGTTAGTAATGTCTCCCATTACATCAAGGTCTTCTTTTATAGCTCCATGCATGACAGGCTTAACAGGGAGAAGATCCTGTTTCGACATTCCCATAATATAGGCAGATTTCAGGGGTATAATCGAACTCTGATACCCTGTGTCAGTCACCATAGATATTCTAACTGATTTCAGTTTTGACGTCTTCAGCATGGGGTGTTCAAAGTTGGTGTGATCTTCTGGCAACAGTGTCATGTTAACCGACCACATGGAGGGGGGGGGGGGGGTGGGGGGGGACACAGTGCTGTGCACAGTTGGTCATACACATAACCGGCTTTACCAAAGTTTGTGTCCTTAGATGAAACTCCTGAAACATGGCCTATCGAAGAATTCCTGCGACCCGTACCCTGACAAGTTCTGGATGAGGCATTACGGTGACCGCAATTACCACAGGTTGTGCACTTGCTACAGGATGTGGTGAAGTGTCCTTCCCTTAGCGCAATTAAATGTGGTCCGTGAGCTGTGCTACCGCATGCCCAGCATCTCGCTCCAAACAATGTGGGTGGCTTGGGGTTGGCATGAGTAGCACACATGGCACCTGAGGATTCTCCCACTGCAGACTTTGTTGCTCTACCGTGCTCTTTCTGTGCAGTAAATGACACAGTTTCTTCCAGTGTCCTGTCTGTCTTTGTGTCACCTAGCAAGTCAGATAGAACTCTGGGTCAGCAATACCCTGTACAAGATTGTCCATTTTGATCTCATCACTTTAGTGACACACATGAGTACAATGTGGCACTTTACATGTGGTCCTATACTGGCAGAGTGCAGCCTAGCCGCGGGAACTTGCCAACAATGTCCGAATACCGATGCCAGGAGATTGTGCCTTCTGCTCAGCTTGATGCGATGAACGGGAGCGCTTCTTCTCTAACAGCCACTCTCTTAATAGCAGCCAGGAGATCAGCCTCAGCCATATTAGCTACATAGCACTGAGGGTCACGTTGAACATCTGTCCGTAGATCAGTGTCACAACAGTAGAATAGCGCAGTGGGGAGAACAGTGTCAGTAATGGCCATTCCAACCTTAAACATGTTCCACTGCCTGGTAAAACTGACCATTGGTCCGGGTCACATCCAGCAGAAACAATTGGTGGGTCCAACTTGAGCTTTGGTGGTTTTGGATTGCCTGGGGTGCTATGGACGATCCTGTCATGAATTTGAAAAGTAGCAGTGAGGGCAGCTGCAAATTCGGCTGGTGGGGTCATTGTGAATACGATCTGTTCAGGGTGTCCGAGATTTTCTCAACGTCAACTATTCACAGTCATTGACCTATTGATAGAGCGATATTCAGCTGTTCCAGTACCATTTGTTGCCTTCATACTCGAGATGGAAACTATTAATAAGTAATGTTGGACATTATTCAAGCTATGATGAAACACTATCTACAGATTATATTGACATGTAACTCCTCTTTGGGTTCAATATTTCTTGTATTAAAAATACACCCGAATTTTAAAACATACGGAGCGATATATATATATTTACAATCTGGAATTATATTTTTATAGATTTAACACTATTTCCCGGTCGTATAATTAAGTGTTGCCTCTCTTTGGGTTTCACTATACTAAAAGACTGAGTAACATATACTATTATCGAGTTCTTCCAGAATAGTTTTAAACATTTGCTAAGTGGCCATTGATTTAAAAAACCCACCACACCAATAGAACCACTACAATCAATACTAATATACGGACGCAGTGTGGAAAAACCGTTTTCGATAAACCGATAAGTGGATTGAGAAGGCCATTTCATATAAATATTGACATGTATCATTTTTTCATATTATTATCGACCTCAGTCAAAGGATATAATTGAATAATATATGGCTTTTTCGTCGTCGAAATTCATGTCCAACGTACTCTGAAATATATTAAGAAAAACAAATAAAGGAAAAGTCCCGTTTACCATTACAAATAAGCAAAGTATGTATGATTACACCATATACTATACTATACTATAAATTATTATGAAATGGGAACCGCGACAACGAAAAGTCCAGGTACACAGTAATAATTACAACATGTATAAATATTTTCCCGCCAAAAAAATGCTACAAATTGATTTGAAGAAAACTTTCAATAAGTAGTGATACATATTATGTTCGGGTCATAAAACTAACGTTCCCATTTTATTACAAGAAACTTTATCTAAAGTGTGATCATGGCAAACATGGCACGTGAAGGAGATAGTGACAGACAGTATGGAAGCATCCTAGCCGTGGTATTCATTTATGTATGTCAGGCGACGTCCTCAAGGTTGGACAAGAAGATTTTACAACAAGATTGTGCACAGAATATTGATTTCTGCGTATGAATTTTATCTATAGTTATAAATCACTCCCTGAAAATTAAAGGGAAGGGGAGGGAATCCCAGGTAAATAAACAACTTCCATTGTTAAACAAATGCCATTAGGAAGATGATACCGCTGCCCATTCAGCATACCAGTTAGATAAACATTGCCATTATCATACGTTTTTTTATTGTTATTATCGCATCGCCACTAACGACAAACACTCCCAATTGACACTGACTCGGAAATGACGTCACAAAATCATTTTCTCCATAACTGTTCTGCAACATCGACTGCTTAATGGAACTCTACAGGACATTGGCCTAGGATACATACGATGGAGAGCATGCTACAAATTTGTATTCTCCTATCCATGGTGATTTTGTCCTTTGGTAAGTTGTTTATATACATTCTTGAATTTTATGTTTTAGCAATTGTTTTATCAATTTCGTACATTGCTAACCTCTGTACAATATATTTACGATTTTAATCTCGTTGACGATTCTTTTCATGGCATTCATTTGTAACGGCTCAATAACCGACTCATACTGATTTATATGGCGGTTGTGGTTGACCTAGAAGTCAAAATTTAAAAATAATTCCTGGGATGTAAGAAATGTATAAAAATACTTGAGACAGTTTGTGAACTTATTAGGCAAAACATTACGTAAACCTAACACTCAAACGATATACAATGTATTTACTACTCCTGGTAGGAAAGTTTTGTTTTTAGATATTTGGAGCGGATCTCCATCGACAGGAAACGGTATTTCTAATTCCTGCATTCATTTTATTAATATGTATCTTATAATTGAATTATCTCATTGTTTATGTATATATGTCACATTGGTAACATACTAGCTGTCTCCTGCCTACTGGGCTAGAGCGAAAACAATGTCAGGCGCATTCGGTAGAGCGTCAGGCTAGTAAACAAGATATATCAGATTCGATTCCTAGTGGAGGCAATGAACGCATATAGTGTCCTCAATTGCATATACATACATCTATTTCAATTACTACTCAAGTTGGAATCACTGCAACTACCAAATGCAGCCTGTTCATTTGGCGATAAATTTGACCTGGTTAACATTGCCTGTGCGTAGGATTTTCCGAAGGGAGATAACTAAATTGACATGTTTAAACAAAGAAGATACAACTTGATGAGATTTTACATTTTTATTGAAGCTACACAAGAAATTGATCAAACACCAAAAACGATCAACCAGCAAAATATTATCAGCTTACGGTTTCTAAAACAACGTAGATCTATGTGGTCCCGTCTTATATGAAATGCAGTAGAACAGCCAAATGCCATATATAATTGTTTTCATCCTTTCAAGCCACGTCTGGTTTTCTGTCACTTACAGCTAGTAGAAAGATGGCTGCCGTAGATTCGCAGCTGAGGTTGCGCACCGCGTCTAGACATTATTCTCCCGCGATGACTCGTCAGAAAATTTGAAATCTGATGAAGTCATCAACACAAATTAAATATGACATTTAAAATATGGTTGGTTTTGTGTTTTGTTTTTACGTAATTTTGTTGTATTAAACTATCAACGTATACCATCATGTTGTATGATGGTCCTGCAATGACGGACGATATTATTTTTACTTTACACCAATACGTAGACTTTCACAAGCTCCAGAACCTATGACAAAATATCTGAATGAATATAATTTAAAAAAAACCCACACACGTTGATTGAAATATAAGGTTTGAATCTTGCCTTTGTCAATTTTATTGGATGATGAATTGAATTGGTCTTGAAACAGATCCGACATGAACTGCTTCATTAAGCGTCATACTTTCAAGTGAGTAACATATACGTGACTAGTGCACTTTATATTATAAAACGTTTTGCCATATATGTGTTAAGTGGTCCAGTATTTAAAAACATATTTCATATTAATGTGCTGAGTGAACCAATGTTGTAATTGATTTACCAACTCGATGGTACAGCTGGCTGTGTAGTGAAATCGATAGCCGTACAACTGTCGGATAACATGTGTCAAGTGTGTCAGTAGTCGTATATCTGTAGAAATGTCATTATAGAGAAGTTCAACACCATGCACACGTTCTCATTTGACTCAAAACATTTTTAAAAAAAATATCCTTAATTAACCCAATTGTAAGGAATCAATGAAGGACCTCATTTTCCTTCGAGGTAAACATAAGGGGTTCCACTGTGGTGTTTCGAATATAAAGTAACCTTTCTCTTATTTCGTTATGGAAGTAAATATAGCGCAACTTGACCAGGACACCTTCATTGATCATGAGACTCAGTTGGTTACATCGACAGTAGACTTATATCGATGTGAATAACAAGCTCCTAGTCTCAGTTGGTGACATCGACAGTAGACTTATATCGATGTGAGTTACAGGCTCCTAGTCTCAGTTGGCAACATCGACAGTAGACGTATATCGATGTGAGTTACAGGCTCCTAGTCTCAGTTGATTACATCGACAGTAGACTTATATCGATGTGAGTTACAGGCTCTTAGTCTCAGTTGGTTACATCGACAGTAGACTTATATCGATTTGAGTTACAGGCTTCGACTCCGAGTCTAGTTCCGTTATTTACTTTTCACTCAGAACAGTGTTGTTAATTTCAATTAATTTTGTCATCTTTTCGATCAGAAGTCTCGCAAGGTATGATTTTCTTTTCAGAAATGAATAATCAAAGTTGTAGTCATGTCAAAAGGTTTCCAATGTATATTCAGTTTTGGTAGCGGTACGGGGATCTTTAAAAAATGTTACCCATATAAAAGTAATTTAAACGTTTCAGCTGGATGTGGTCCTTGTCAATACGACCTGGTGACCGGACCATACGGCGTGTCCGACGATGCAATCACAGCGTCAACTACTTCTCGTGATTGTCCTATAGAGAAAGCCAGATTCAGCAGTTCCAGAAGCTGGTGTCCCAATTATTCTGGAGTCGGACACTTTTTACAGGTAATGCTGGACATAATTTACAGGTAATGCTGGACATTATTCAAGTGATGATGAACATTATTTACAAATGACATGAAACTTTATTTACATATAACTCCCCTTTTGGTTTCAATAGTTCTTCTAGTAAAAAAGTTTTAAATCATACGTAGCGATATATATATATTAACAATCTGGAGTTTTTCAAGAATGTTTTTTGTGTCTATTTAGCACTATTTTCCAGTCTTATAAGACATTATTTACGTATAACTTCCCGATTAGTTTCACTATTTATTTTAGTAAAACACTACGTGATATATAATATTAACATTCTTGACTTATTCTAGAAAAGTTTTAAACTTTTGCTTAGTGACAATCAATTTACAACAACAGATGAAAAAACCTACTGCAACAATTACTAAAATACGGATACAGTAAGAAAACACGTTTTCAATAAACCAATAGATGGATTCAGAAAGCCATATTAGGTAAATATTGACAATGCATCATATGGCTATTTCGTCGGCGAATTAGGTATAATGAAATTCATTTCCAACGTGCTCTGAAACAAATGTGAAAAAAAACAGATAAAGAGAAGATATTTTAAAAATCCCCGTTTTCCAAATAAACAACATGTGGTTACAACAACTACTTTATATTTAAACTAGCATTTAATGGGAACCGCGGCAGAATCAATTCCAACTACATGTACCAGGCTACGGCCATTTTAGTTCATGGTGCATCATTATAAATGCATTTGTATTTAATTATAATGGTTCCTTGTCGTGCACAAACACAGGTGGAGTTTCGATCAGTCTCAATGCTGAAGGCAATACAGACTAAGGGAAGGGAAGACAATAGTCAGTGGGTGTCTTTGTACAGTGTCAACATCAGTATGGACGGAATCACCTGGACATCCTTATCGAACTCTACAGGCGATGTACAGGTAACAATGCCCATTTAAGGTCATGCGCAGCTATGCAAATCTACATATGGTTGAGTTGTTCTGTTCTTCTAAAGTATAGATTTTTTAGAGGAAAATAATTTCATAATTTAAGCTACCTTCATTGAGACTATATGAAATAAAAATGAAAACTATACGAAACTTATACACCTAAGTTACAATTTCAAAATGTATGTTGACAATCATTTGTATTTTAATTATGCTAGTTAATTAATCCAAAGCAGAGCCAATGAAAGTAGTCTCAGTGTTAAACGTTCTTGCAAATGATAAGGTCACATGAAGGCGGTTGTCAGGGGAGACAGTGCCAAAGATGAAAGTGCACGTAAGACAGTCTCCGAGAAACAACAATATTTTGCAGAAAGAAGGGGGGCGCAGTGGCCAAGTGGTTAAGGCGTCTGACATTCTGCTACCACTAGCCCTCAACCACTGGGTCGCGGGTTCGAGGCCTACGTGTGGCAGTCGCCAGGTACAGGCTTTCTCCGGGTAGTTCGGCTTTGCTCCACCACCAAAACCTGGCACGTCCTTAAACGGCCATATCAGTTAATAGGACGTAAAACACAAACAAACCAAACCTGCAGAAAGTCCCCAATTAGTTGCCACTTATGCCGGTATACCAGGGGTTTCTCCTCTAGCTCAAGGCTATGTACATTTTTGTTTTGCCAACAATAAAGGAAGTAGATCAAGCAGTAGCCAATGTACTGACTTGCAAATGTTCCAGGTTTCCAACGTTTTCCAAAAGGAAATGCTAAGATACACCACAGGGAAAAAATGAGTGGTCGTTAGGGATATGTGTCAAGTAAAAACGCCTGACAATGCCTCTATGTTCGCCTTGGTGTTGAAGCGTTCGCCCGAGCGAGGAAGACTATGGACTCTGCCCCTGACCGAGACACAACATAAGTCTGTAAAAATAATTGTAAGGATAGATTTACCAGGGTGCATCCGGAAAGCCATGAGTTAGGTACTCCGAAGGAGGCATTCAACCTGCTCTATCGCACAGAGTCAAATACACAAACATACTGCCTCCAGCACCCATGTAAACGTTGCACCCATTACAGAACGACTGACTGTTCCTGTTAATAAGATGCTGATTATTCATTTACAGTCGCCATTTGGTCGACAGACGATAAACAATAATCACTGTCGTCATGCTTTATACGAGATGTTTATTTCAATAAATAAAATCCTCCAATCTGTCGACATCGCTGGTCAACAAATTCAATCAGCAATTGACAGATTTACAAACGCTATTTTAAGTCACCTTCCAGAGTAGTTCAACGGAACATTCTGACTATGAGCCTGACTGGTTTTAAGTAGATTTAGAAATAGAATAAATCATGTTTGTTTGTCTGCTAGCAACTCATTTATTACATGTAAAATTAAAGTTTTGTACCCTCATTCGACAAATGAAATCATTGCGTTGACCACTTGTTTAGATTTGCATTGGAGGTTTTTGGAAGTGTTGGTCTGTTGGAAAATAATATATGCAAGCGCATGATATATCGCCAAACAAAGCATGGCTATTAACCGATGGAAAGCTTCGTAACATCGAGGATGTGGTAGATTTAAGAGTAATCATGGGCTCACTATAATAATGATATAGGATTAAGTATCCTCCCTTCTTTATAAAGGTGTTTCCCGGAAACTCCGACAGAAATACAGTCGTAACCAATGCACTAGAAGGAACTGTGATCGCCAAGTACATCCGGGTTATATCCGTCTCTATGCATTCCCACGGATCAATGAGACTGGAGGTTCAGGGCTGTCCGTACTCAGAAATAAGCAGTATGTATTCTGTCATCAGTGTTGACATAATGCAATTACTAATGTTTAATTATATTTTTTTTTTGCGCTCTTTCATTCGTGTTTTCTTGTATTTATAAAATCAATCATAGTTTAATCTCCTGCATACGCTGAACATATGCAGCACATGTACATGTATATTGATTTTCGAACTCAAGTTCATTTTCTCAATTTGTTTTTCTGCCAAACTGTTTTATTCTTAATGACATTGTACTGTTTTTGTGATTTTGAAATTCTTTATCAAATTAATTGAAAAAAAAAATTGTTTTCTTTTATCAATGAGCTTGCCAGGTACTTACCTAATGTAAATGTTTCTATTTTCCATTTTGACATAATACATAAGTATTCCATTTGAAAAAAAAGGAGAAAATTTACTTTGCTTTTGTACTTTTTAACAAATTTTGAAATCAAATTTAATATGTTGACAATAATATTGCTTTTTCAAAAGCCCCCCCCCCTCCCCCCCCACACACACACAAATTAAAAACCCAACCCTGCTGGGGTAGGTTGCACAATATTGATGTTACTGATTTTGCGTGAAGAATAATAGAATGCCATGCTTTGTATGATGGGACAATATGTATTTGAACAGGTACATGTCATCGCTGGGGAGCCAAGCTTGGTGCCACTGGGGACGTACTTTCTATTATCCTGGACACGGACGAATCGAACCAAGGACTGTGTGGCTTGAAGTGTTACAGACAACCGGAATGCGACAGTTTCCTGTTTGACGTTACGTCTGCGCAATGTAGATTACTTAAGGGGTCAGTGAATGGGTCACAAATCACGGTTGACCTGGACGGGGTTTGGTATTTTGTGAAAATATGATTGTCAACACTTACTATTTGACGTCATTTCCGCATGCACTTTGTCTCACAATGGGCATGTCATCCTTGTGAATTGTTTTTTCCTTTTGTCAGTTGCGGGTTTGAGATGATATCCCAGTTATTTTTTATATTGATGTGTTGATTGTGTTCGAATGTGCGTAATTTATTTCGATTTTCGAATGTGCGTAATTTATTTCGATTTGCCTATTTTATTTTCATGGACACCATGTATTCAAGGCATTCGAGTTTGATTCTTGTATTGGTACGTAGCCTTCGTCTTTGTAACGTTAGATGAAGAAAACAAATACTTACTATGTAATATCACGTATGATATCCCAGTAAGTTGTTATATTGATTTTGTCTTACTGTAACAAAATTCATGTCATTTTTCATTATTGTATCACAGCTACGTACTGTATGGAATCGTGTTTATTTCACATAGCTGGCTATGGAGGATAGAAATTCCTCTCAATTGGAAGCTGTGTCAAAAATAAATTATGTTACATGGACATGATGTGACAATGCGAATAATTTAAATACACGGGGAGTTTGACGACTTTTTTAATGATCATTTCATTTAAAATAGAAATAACTATTATACAGTTATTTTTGAAGTTGATACTGAACTTTTTTTAATTTTTACCAATGGTATAAAGTATTTATTATCGGTAAAGTATTGAAGAACGCAATACTCTGCCACAATAGGACGTCTAAACACACACCGATAAAATAAATTCGTAAGGTATAAAATTATGAAAACAACTCCGTTGCATTCGTTTACAAATAATAAATGTTTCCCGTTTTGTTGTTGTTGAAAGTAAGAACTCTCGTTAACTATCTAACCACCTTGGGAGAGACGGCTCACATGCGCTATTGTTCTGACAACGGCTCAGTCCCATCATCATTTTTTGTAGCGTTGCCAGTTATAGATGTTGAAAATCACTGATGAAATAATTTTTGCTAATGTTAATTTTTTGAATAAAAGAGGTTGGAAATTGTTTAATGATATTTGTTTTTCATCCCGACATCTGTGTGTGAACGAAAATGTATCTTTGACAGTATCTTCAAAATGAATCATTAGTTTGGAAATATAAATGTATCAAAGTTTAACTTTATACCCAATGTAGGTTTCAAACGTGTTGCACGTATGATGGACGATCTGATCATCTTCGCATTAAATGACTGTTTTATGCACGTCGTCGCATCATGAAATACATTTTTTTTTCAGGAATAGAACGGAACGTTTAGGACCACAATGAAATATCATAAAACAACATGAAGTGTTTGCAGCGGAATGGGCAAATATGGACACAATTGTATTGCAAAAGCTTTGAAGTTAACGGGGAGTTTTGTTAGTCAAATTTGTTTACCGTAGCGTTTAAAAGTCTGTACGGAATTTGAAAGGAACACATTTTGATGGCTCGGGACAATTTCACTGCAAACTGTAAAAAGGAGAAGCAGTGTCCTCGATTTTAACAAAGTAAGAAAGAGAAATAGGAGAGCTGCTTTGTGAAGAATTGTTTTTTAAAAGCAATGATATGTATCAACCTCCGTCGATGCGAGGAGATGAGGATACGCCCACGCAGCCCATCCAACAAAGCTAATACCGGTACTATAGTAAACTATAAAAGTAATTGGAACAAACTTATAGCAATTTCGTAAATAGTGAGAATATTACAACTTCAGTATTGAATGTGATATCTAAAGATAGCATTACAAAGCGTTCTGAGGTTTCGTGATTTTGTTTACATCTATGTTTAATTGAGTAAGAGGAAAATTGAAGATATTGTTGTTATTCATTTATCTAAAATTGAGACTGCAATAAAACATCGATCAATAAAAAAAAATAAAAAAAAAACCCGATGAATTTTATTGTATACCATATACTTGTTTGTTGTATCTAGTGCGATATATCTATTATATACTACACGCATTATTCAGTGTTTACGTAAGAAGTGACAAAAAAAAAAAAAAAGCGATGACGGCATACACAAAAGGTATATGTTCATAAACCTAGGAAAAATATAAACACATATGTATACTGCCGCGAAGAAAAAAACAAAAGGTTGCTAGGCCTTTGGCATTAATTTATCACCATAGAGCGTCTTGTCAGAAGTTTGAGGGAGACCCGGAGCGTTCCCGACCGGCCGATATCTGGACGGTAACATCTGACCTGGCAAGTTAACGGCTGTAAATTCACCAATACTGATATGTCTGTAGATCTCAGTTTATAGACTAGTTGACCCAAATACACGAATTTCTAAATTATATTTTTTGTTTATATTTGATATTGTATTCACGTCCCAAATAACCAATCTTATTCATTTTTAATTGTTTATTAATTAATGCGGTACTACGGCCAAGAACTTCAATGAACAATCATTTTTTTCCAGTCACAACTTTACTAAATAATAAATAAGATCTGAAAGAAACATGTAACTTGTGGAATTTTCTCTAATGAGATAAAATTATAATAAACTATGTTAGACGTCGTATAACTGGAGCGAAAAGATGTAACTAAGTCAGACTATGAGTATACCCCTAACGGTATATATCTTACCAAGTGAGTTACACAGACGCTTGTAGATCAAGGTGGTCATGTCCCACAAAAATTATATTCAAAACGAAACAAGAACACTGACAGGTCTTCAAGGGCCCGTCATGTGATTGACCAAATATATCCCCAATTTTCTCTGAGAAATGTTAAGCAATCATATTAAGTTATGAAGTATTGGTAATATAGAGGTTCCCCTACGAGTGATGGTTGGTTATCATGTTTATCTAACCCGAGTTAGTTAATTTTCATATTGAATAAAGACACGAGGTTTGAAAAATTAACTAACGAGAGTTATACAAACACGAGAACCTGCCATCACAAGTTTGGGGTCGTTTTTCTCCCATAACGTTCATATTTATATCAGGAAGGCCATGTTTCCATTGAAAACTTCCGATCGAGGATGACGTCGCAAATTATTGTTACGTGACGTCATAACTAAAAAAGTTGCCAACAATTTGAAGTTAAGGGTTTCGATTCCTAGTTTATCCCATTGGCTTTGTATTCATTAGAACACTGTTAATGATATATTTTGTTAATTTATCATATAATATTAACAAAAACCCTGAATGGTATGGTTTTATTTGAAAACATAAAATCTTTCAGCAGGATGTGGTCCTTGTGAATACGACCTGGTGACCGGACCCTTCGGTGTGTCCGACGAGGCAATCACAGCGTCATCTACTCACAGTCACTGCCCTTTAGTAAAAGCCAGATTCCGCAGTTCCGGTAGTTGGTGTCCTCTTAATACTGGTGGTGGACACTATTTACAGGTAAGATTGGACGTTATTTACAGATAACACTGGCCATTATTTACAGGTTATACTGGAAACTATTTACAGGTTATACTTGACACTATTTTCAGGTTATACTGGACGTTATTTACAGGTAATACTGGACGTTATTTACAGATAACACTGGCCACTATTTACAGATTATACTGGACAGAATTTACAGGTAATACTGGACGTCATTTGCAGGTAATTCTAGGCACTATTTACAGGTAATACTAGGCACTATTTACAGGTAATACTGGACTCTGTTTACATAATATACTCACTAGGACCACTTATCACTACTAAAAGTATGAACGAATTAAGCAAACTCGTTTAACACCAATAGGTGGATTCAGAAAGCCATGCAATGGAAATATTGACAAAACATCATATGATTGGTTATTTTGTTATGTATTGATGTCTCATCAGCGGTTAAAAAGGTGAAATGAAAAAGTCCGAGTCAAAAGTGTTCAAAAAACATATAAAGCAGTGCAGAAATCAGGGAAAATATCAGTGAACACCCCTCTAGCATAAAAAAGAGCGACATCTGGTTAAAACTAATAATATAGTTTGAAACTAGCATTTCATGGAAACTGCGGCAAAATCAACTCCCGCAACAATACTACGGCCATTTTGGTTGTGTGAAACATCGTTTATTGTAAACAGTGTATTCTACTATTCTACAATGGGCGGATTGGTCGAGTGGTTAACACTTCGGCCTTCCACGCAGGCTGCCGGGGTTCGATCCCCAACGTCGTCGCACGTATGGAATATCAGAGAAAGTGTTTTTCTCCTACCAAACAACTCCAACAACCCGAGCGGAGTATACAATGTTGATGTTGCGGTATCTGTGATGTAGCATTCAAGTGAGGTGGCACTATAAAAGATGTCGTTGGAAGCACGGTCCCACTACAAACAGCACACAATACATATCCAGCACACATGCAGTCATACACACATAGGGAGATATTAGCCAGGTGGCACAGGACTAGTAGTTGGCACCCGATAAAGCAGCTCCTGCGAATTTCTCAAAAATTGTATATATTAATTGTACATCTAAGTACTGTTAAGCGCTTAAGAGTGCCTTATGTTAGCTAGATAGGGCGCTATATCAAATGTTGTATAGTATGTTGTATATTAATAATATGTGTCTTCTTTTCCAAAACACAGATTGAGTTCCGATCTGTCTCATTACTGAAGGCCAATGGCCCATGGATCGATGAAGTTGGAGGTACAGGGCTGTCCGTACACGGAAATAAACAGTATGTATTCTGTCTTCAGGATTTACAGTATATAATAACTAATGTTTCTAAAAAAAATCAAGTTTCCGTTCATAAAAAATCTTACATCAATTGTTTTCCGTTTTTTTTTAAACTTGCCAGCAAGGTATTTTATTTGAATTTAAGTCGCATTCACGAACACAGCAAAGTTGGTTGAGGTTTTAATTAGCTAGCATTTTACCTGTTTTGCCAAAATATATTCCAAAATGTGAAAGAGATATCATTGCATGTTGACAATAAACTTTGATGTGTAAATTAAGAGAATGGGTCAAATTGGTTTCTATTTGTAAATGAGAATGGATTATTAAATTTGACCTATATTTGTATTTTGGGATATCATTTCAATATAATAAAAACTGAAGTGATGACAATACAAAGAATGCATATAAAAAGCCTCAAGAAGTTGTGAGGCGTTGCTATTTATGGCAGTAAAATAAGTTTTATGTAAACTATCAACGTTTGAAAAGTCGAACCCATATGGAAATTAATATAAGCTAATGCTCCACTTTTATACACTGTATGTGTGTTAGTGTAATTAGGTACGCCATGGTGCGGTATGATACTGAAACCATTGATTCTATGTATACAGTAATGGGATGCCAAACAAACGGTTAAGATAAAAGAGGAAATGACATTCGTGTTGATTTTAATGTTACCCTTGACATAAATAATTTACTTAATTGATACCTAATATGAGACGTAACTGAACAGGTACTTGCCATCGGTGGGAAGCCAAGCTTGAATCCACTAGTGACGTACTTCCTATTCTCCTTGACGCAGACGCATCGAACCAAGGAATGTGTGGCTTAAAGTGTTTCAGACAACCGGAATGTGACAGCTTTCTCTTTGACTTCACTTCCGCTCGATGTAGATTACTAAAGGCGACTATGGATGGGTCACAAGTAACGGTCAACCTGGACGGTGTTTGTTATTTTGTGAAAATATAAATGCGAATGCTTTCTATTTGACATCATATAATGCCTACTACAGTGTACTAATAGGTAATTGTCAACGTACATAACTACTTGATGAATTTGTTGTGACCTGTTGTTGGTAATGTTGCGGCTGTTTTTTGTCATGATATTTGAGGTTTGTTTGCGCATATGTATAAAGTCTTACACCTGGGTAAAGTTGTTTACTTACAATGTGTTTATTGTGTCACCTAACACAAATTACACCAGTTAGGTGTAAAACCTGACTGTGTCTTACGGTGATAAACTTCTCCGATTTCAATAGAAGCGAGGTAAAATAGAGAATTCGCTCTGTGAAGGACAATTTAACAAGGATATGAATCAGCCTCCTTCAATGATGTGAGGACTCGCTCACTCGCGCGCCACGAACAAAGCACTGACAATAATCAATTAAATTTATT